AAAGAGAGCATGGGGTTGCGTAGTGGTACCACTGCTTCTCTTTCCCATTATGTCTGTTTTGTAAGAAATTCTGTGATTCTGACACTTTGAAACCAGAAAGAAAAGAAAGTGCTTTTAATTCAAACCACAGCTGCTAAGTAGGTCTGTGGAAAGGGTTTTTTTTATAGCGTTAGTGATAGGAGATGTGTTCTTGGGAAGTTTTCAACTGTAGAGAAGTAAAAGCTACTGACTTCAAGCTGGCCATCTCATGAAGTAAGAGGGACAATTTTTAACTCAACAGAAGCAAGCACATCTGGGAAACAAAACTGAAAAAGAACAGAAACCAGAGCCTATCGGGAAGGTGAGCCCGGTATGGAGGGCAAGGGGTTTCTGAAGACCAGAGCACCCAGCCCAGGTGAGAGTAGGGTCAAATAAATTAGCATCTTCCTTCACACAGACTTGGAACTTTCCATCTGGGCCTTGAGTGTATTGTTTAATGGAAGGCACTACGGTGTCTGCTTACCTCTTTTATCTGGCTCATCTTCTGCTCCTTCTGCAAGCTGCACACTTGTTTCTGGAGACGCAGGTTGTGCTCCTGCAGCTGCCCAATCTTCTCAATCAGTTGGCAAATGTGCTCCAGGTAACCCAGACCAGATCCCAGGGCTTTGCTGTTACCCTGATTCACCTGCAATGACAATGCATCTTGGACCATGGTGTAACAGCAGAGCAATCTTTACTAGCAGTTAGGAGCCCAACACACTCCTCACAGTCGTGTGGGCCATGGTAAAGACACTCAGGCTTCTTGCACGGAGCTTTGGTTATAGCCAGATCTGAGCATTGCTGGCTCATAGCTCTCTTCTGGATTACTCAGCTAAATGTGCCATCAGAAGGATTCTTCTGACTGATCACAGGCTGATGCAGAGGAAAACCTCATGATGTCCTGTTTCTGGTTCTGCTTCTCAAGTAATTTTTGTCTGTTACTGACCATAGGACCCTTACAAACAAATATAATTCTACTGTATGGTATAGATGGCTGCGGTCAACATGGCTAACGCTCAGTACAAGTCACACTTAGGTGGACTGAGACTGAGTGTGGCTCCTACTCAAAGGCACATATCTGCAGGTTGCAGTGATTTTCTGCTTTGTGACCAGCTTGGGGGTACATTTTCGTCTGCCTTTGGAAATCTGCAATCCTGAAGGCACAGCTGAACTCAGACCACCATCACCGGTGTGTCTGTGGGAGGGATGTGTGCCTGAATCAAGCCGCCAAAGCGAAAGAACATATTTCCACTGGCCTTTAGCAGAGCCCAGCTTATATCCCTCAGTCACTAAGAGATGCCTGAAGAAAGTCTGCAGGTTCAAGCTTGATGCCTGCTATGGCAGGAAATTCTGTGCCACCGATCTCTCCGCACCCCGGACCTGCAGATTCTCACTGCTGCTCAGCCAAGGTCAGTGCCAGAGACAGTAATCCTGTGGCAGAGGAAAGGCAACGGTGCTCCCCACCTCGCTGTTTCTGGCCCCAGGACTTCCCCATGCACAGCAAGTGTCCTCTCCTGTGCCGTGAGCGGACTGTGCCGAACGTGCTGCTAACAAATACACGCTGACGCTCACTTCCACCTTGGCGCTGCCTGCTGATGTGCATGTGATATTGGTAAGTAAAATAAGCCTTGTTCTTTACAAAAGCAGCGCTCTAAGTTTATCTTACTACAAAAAATAAGTTCCCTCTACAAAAGCAGGAAGCTTACTCTGTCTCCTTTCCCACAACAATCTGCATTTTTGGGGAAATGCCAGCCTTGGGACTCTTCCTGTCTTTTCATTATGTCAGAAAGCTCATGGTGTGTTCAAAAATAATCAACATTAGGATTTACTTCTTTTTAAACAAATGATGATACAATGTTATTTATAAACAGGTATTATTATGTCCAGATGCTTTTGTGTCTGAAGTTGGGACAGAGGTCACATGAAATCGTATGAAAAATTGTGATGACTCTAAGCCAACCAGTCATTCACATTCATGATTTTTATTTTCCTGTAAGAGAGAGCCTGCAGAAGCGGTGGCAAGACAAAGGTTACTCAGCCACAAAACCGAGTCCTTAGCATGTCTGTGCAGTGGGAAGGGGTGCAGCCCCAGGATCCACAGGGGAAACAAAGCTTACGTGGTGACTGTGGTAAAAGCTTGAAGGAAAAACACTATAACCAACATATCTGAAAGCTGCTAGGGATTTGAGGGTGCCCATTTTCAAACACGATTTTCAGAAAGTGCCTCAGTATCAGCTTCCATGGTTTTGAGCTGTCCCAAAGCGAGTCGTGATTTTATTATGCTGTCCCAAAATGAGTAGTCAGAAGTTCCTCGTTATCCTTGAAAATGTAGGGGTTTTGCCACTCTGCACCCTCTTTTTGCACATTTAACAACTCCCCCTTCTGACAGTTTGCTGTTGCAGTGACTGATGGTATGTCTGTATTGCCCTAAAGAGACAGCCAAATCCAACCCGTTAGAGCTGTAGAAACACAGTGGAAGGCTACAAGGGACAGAGAAGGTCTTGGAAGAGAGAATAAAGTAAAATATCTGGCTGTAACCTCAGAACTGGGGAGAAAGCATGAAGCATTTGACTGTGATCTCTTTCAGAGACTCTCTTCTAGTTCCATATTTGTCCTGTTCTTAATACCGTAAGTTCCTGCTTTGTGTTTGCGGCTGCTAAGTTTACAGGACCGAAAGGGCAAGGGAAGAAGAAGAGAAGGTGGCCTTGATTTCCAGTGCTGTGTCTAGGGCTGAAGACACTTGGAAGCAAAGGTATGTTTGGGGCAGGCATGGAGAGAATGTGGCTATTAGCAAAGGCTAGAGAGAACTTCCAGCTCCTGAGAATAAATACAGGTTCCCAGAAAATGAGAGGGAAAGTGTGTAGGGCAGTTGCTCCAGGTCTTGGGGCAAGGTAAATTTACCCCTATAGAGGACCTAATCCAGACTGAAAGCTGGATTCAATATGCTGGAAGCCCCTGTTTCACAGCCATCCTTCAGAGGCTGCTCAGGGAAGGCAGTTGGGGCTGTTCAATAGGAATTGTATCTGTATTTTACTGAAGTGGTCCCAGCAAGCACAAAACAAAAGGCAAATCAGGCAGAGCCTCCAGTGCCTGCTCGTCCCTGCAGGGCCAGAAACCTCCGTGGTCAATATACAGGGGTGAAAGCAGGCAAAAGAAAGGGGATGCTTCACTTGCTTGTCCTGCCACAAGGCCTCTTAGCATCAGGACTGCTCAGATATGGCAAGTGTTTGATACAGAAAATTTGTGTAATCTAGCTGGTTGCCCCCAAAATGATTGCTCAGAGAGGGCTTCTCTAGGGACACTTCCAGGACTTTCTTTTCCGTAGACTGAAAATACCTAAACAGCTCTCACTATCTTCTGCTCCTGCCAAGTGCAGCATAGAACATGCTCTGTAACATTTTTAGTATGAGTATTTTCCTCTCAGCATCTTTGAAAGAGTTTTATGCTAGCAATGGAGGGTGAGCAACCATAGGAAAACTGCAAACATTTTCCAGGAAGAGTCTCTTCCACTCTCTGTCCTCCCAGTTGAAGCTTCCCAAAACATCCACCTTAACGGAACTGAAATCTTTCCCATTCTCCACATGGAGGTTGTCAGATAATATTAGAACAAAAAGCATGTGCTCATTTTTGAGTTGATGAAACCTAGGAAGAAGGAAAAACCTCTCCCCTACTTTTTTGAAGGGGAAGATGCAGAGGATCATCAGACAAACACAATTTATGAATCAGATGGTTAAAGGTGTACTAGGAAAGTAACAACAAAGGGTATAAATAGGTGCCAGAGTTTGCTTTCAGGTACATCAGCCTGAATCAGACCCCCCCAGCTGGAAAAAAAGGAATCCAGGGCTCTCAGCTATACTGTGCTGAGTTACTCCCATTATTGTTTTGACCGTGTGGCGGTAAGGTACACTACGCTGACTTTACACCAGCGTAACTTAAACGACATCTCTGCTCTTGAGAATGCTCACCTGCCTAAGCTTTGGAGACAGGTCCTCGGTACATGTAGCCCTGCTCAGCTGGCAGTAAACCATGACAGTTGTGCTGGCCCACAGAATTCTTAAGAAGCCTAAAAATATAGGATTAACACCTGCACTGGGAACTTTGGCTTACCTAGAGCCCTCCAGTCAATATTTTGACTGGTGTAAAAATCACATTTTTCCTCTGAAGCCACCAGACTCAGGGAGCTAGGAGCTTTTCTTCAGTGAGGCTCAATGGAAAACTGTCCTGGGCTGGACGTGGCAGCAGGAGCTGAGGTTGGTAGGTAGGACTAGCTTGCAGGTGAAGCTCCTCTTCATTCAGACGGGAGCTCACTGATATTTCTTGCGGTGACTTAGATTTCTGTTCTTCACTTTCTCTGGTGAATAGCTTTGAGTTACATGATGCTCCATTCTCCTATAAGTCCCTCACTGCCTGCTCCCACTGTGTGAGCATGGCCAGTACGGAGGCAGTAGAGCCACTGTGCCAACAGTCAAGGAATGTAATTGCAAACCTTCCATCGTGGGCCTGAAGTAACTGATTAGTGACGCCACAGGCTGAGCAGGAAGCATTTGTCACTGGAAGCTGACAGCACCAAAAGGCTTGTGAATAACAGGAAAGAGAGGGATCGTGCTGTATATTTCTGACGGCTCCACCCTGGAGTCCGGGAGAGGCTGCGCTTACTGATAGCTCCTGGTTTCCTCCGAGCAGCACGCACAGGCTATGGGGCTGAGCATCACAGGTTGCCTTATCCTTTCCCTGAACTGCACCACTCTCTGCAGAGAAGTATTTTGACTTCTCTGGCCCAGGATAATTAGCACTGTGTGAGTAATGGGGTTTTTTTCATTTAATGACGACAATACTCCCACCCTCTCTCTTCTTCTAGGGGTATGGGCCGACTTGAAGTGTAAACTTTATGGAGTGTGAGGAAGTTTTTGCAAAGCAAAGCATCAAAAGCCATGTATCTTCAAACCCACCCCAAACATTTAATTTGACTTAAAAGGAATGCTTTTCTTTAGGCTTCAAAGTTCTTTCACTTGTTGTTTGACAGCTTCCACTCTCTTTCATCTTTCTAAATGTAGGCAAATTTCAAAATAATGACAGTTTGAAAAAAAAAGATCAGAAACTTTGTTTAGGAAATGACAGACCAAAATGATTTTATGTATATTTTCAGCCAAAGCCATTTACCAAATGAATCCAAACAGTCTAAACATTTGGTCATTTCCAGTCTCTCTTTTTCAGCATTTTCCTTCCTGTACTCTTGGAAGTGGCCTCAGCAGTGAGGGAGGAGGGGAGGACATCAAGCGACATCCTCACCCAGAGACTGAATCCTCGCTCGCCTGCAGAGTGCTGGCAAGCACAGTGCGTTGGCATTGCCACAGCCAGCTGGGCTGGGGAAACTCAACTGCTTTCCTGTTTCTTGAAAGTTGTATTCCAAAAACCAGCAACAGAATTTGAGGAAGTTGTTGTCACCTATGATTAAATAATACCCTCACCTGGCATTAAATATAGGCTAGTGAAAGCGCTCTTGCATCACTATCAACATGAATTTAATGCAGCAGGTATTGAATTGATGGAATGATTTACTTTGGTGTGTTCTTTGCAAAGCAGAGTGGGAATACCCTGTACTGGCCTGCTGTCTTTAGACTGATTGTATTTCCAGGGATATCAGAGTCCCTGAGATGACATCAGGCAAGGCTCTTAAGTACCATATTATATCTTGGACAGACTACAGGCAAAAAAACCACAGAGTAAGCCTGAGGCAGAGCCTCAGCTGGTATGAATCAAGACGCATCCATCAGCCATATGGGCAGATGATCATCTGGATATCGTTTCTGAGTGGGTCTCACTCTGGCCTGCCTCTGTTGTATGACAATAGGGACAGGTCAACCTTGTGCAGGTTTGGCAAGGGCAGAAGGCTCTGCAGGAGGCTGTCCCTGTGCTCTGAGGCACAGAGCACAGCAGCAGCAATAAGCATTTCTTGCCCCAGTCAGCTTGGGCACTACCTGGCATCCCAGCAGTTTGGAGAGGGCTGCTCTTGAGATACAGCAGCCCAGAGGCACGCTGTGAAGAGGGGCAAACTTCTCCAGCATCTAGGTCACAGCTGTATTTATATAGCTCGAAAAACAAACAAAGAAAAGTGCTATGGGGCACAGAGCTTTAGCACTCAGTCAGTGAGGATATTAAAAAGGAGGGGAGATAAGCCACCAAGAGCTTCATTTCCTCTTCAGCTTCTTTTTAATTTATTCCCTTGTTTATTTAAATGCTCTGCTTTGGGAAACTGAGGCTCCATTTCACAAAGGATTTAAAGGAATTTCAAGAGGAGCCAGAGCTGTCAGACAAGACCAAGCTGCCTGCAAACCCTTCAGAGTGCAACAAAAGGATTTAGGCAACTTTTTATAAAGTCTCCTTGTATTCAGACTCTCCTGCTCTCCTGATTTTTTTGATCTCTCTGCCAAAAGGCCAGGTTGCTGTCTGCCTGGGAACTGTGCAAAATAGATATCTGTCTTCTGCTGTGAGACAGCTCAGGAGGAAGAGGTTGCTCCGCTGGGGTGTGTGTTGCTTGTGCTGCCTCAATATGCAATGTTAACAGAGCTGGGCTGCCTCTGACCTTCCTCACTGCTCGGGAGGGTTTGGCATGCTGGGGAGGAAGGCCATCATCTGCTGGTTCAGGGCCTGGGCACAGAGGTCATGGTGAAATTATATGCACAGCACATAGCACTTGTCACTTGGCTTCCTCCTACCCATCTCCTGTTCCAACTCCTCGCTATTACTGCAATGAATACCCTGGAAAAAAATCCCCATGATGCACCCTTTGACATTTTTGGTGTGTCTTGTGTGACTCTCTTCACCTAGCCTGTTCATCTCCTTTCCTTTTGCTCATGGGGTTTTTTGGTCTGCCTTTCTATCAAGAATGACCTCCCCAGTTAGATCTTTTCGTCCCTGGTTCAGGGAAACCACCGCAGCAGGCAAGCAAGGCAGCAATCTATCTGCGTGTCAGCGGCATGGGACTTGAGGGCAAGCACAGGGTGAGTGCTAGCCAGAATCCATGATGGGAGAAGCGCACAGAAGGGATTGTGAGTCTCCTGTAAGTCAGACAGTGTACCCAGCAAGGGGTAAAGAGTAGGACAAAGTGCTGAAAACATTATATCTTTGTAGTTTTGTCACTCTCAGAACACAGGACTTTCCATCACAGTTGTGCTGGAGGGTTAAAATGGGATCTCCAGCCCAGCAAAGATTTGAATTTGTGCATTAGTTACCTGTTCAGTCACTATTCAAGAAAGCTGGCTCAAGAGGACAGGACAGGCCTGGACAAGAACGAGCTGCCCCTTAGATGAGTTCTTTACAAACCGCAACATCAGTCCAGCTGTTCCTAGATACAACTTGACCTTGAAAAAGAAACCCTGTCCCATGTATCTAAGGTTGAGGACTAACTTCATAATTTTAACTCTTAAGACCAGAATTGAGTCCACTTTCTTCTAATCTAGGGCTTTTTTAAACATTAGATCTCCATGAGCCATTAGTCTTCCTTACCCAGACCAAATAGATGTGAATTACTTGAGAATTTCACTGCTATGAAAAGAGCTCTTAAAAAATCAATTGCCAAGATTTGCTGCTTACAACAGTTTCAGGGGAGATTTTCTAATTTGCTCAAATGTGTCCTAGTTTATAATAGAGGAACTTGAACCCTCCCTGAGATATTTGGACAGGCCTAGCTATAAGATTCAGTCTAGGGATTTCTTACCTCGCTCAGTCTACAGCATTCATCCATGTATTCATCCAGACTGTCGCTTGTGGGGTACTTCTTCAGCTGATGTCCATGGATCTGAAGGTCTTGCGTGCTGCCAAAGTTCTCTGGGAAATTGTCATCAATTGTCTTTGGCTCTTCTGTGGAAGCTGGGGTGGGAAGAATGCTTTCCCTTGGAAGGTCTGTCTCTGGAGTAGGTTCTTTTTCCAGAGATTGTCTTTTGCTTTGGTCAAAATGTTCATCAGGACTTTCTTCCTGAGGGATACTGAAGTCTTCAAGGGAAGCTATAGGACCCGCCACAGCATCTGACTCCTGGCTGCAGTACTCAGCTTGCTTTTCACTCTCTGGATCTTGGTGGCTGACTTTTCTGGTATGCTCTTGACATGTTCTCATTATCAGATGGTCAATTTCTGGAGAAGAAGAGGTGCTAAGCACGCCCGAGTCACAAAATGAGTCTCTACTGTGAAGCACAAAGCTCTTCTCAGAACCCGTCGGTGTTGATGGAGAATTAGCCCCACTTGGCAATTCAACCCCCGAGTCCTCAGATTCAAATTTGGAAAACCTGTGAAGACGGCACTTGGACTCGAAGGCGCTGAGGTCAGGCAGCGTAGCTACATAGTCTGTGCTTGCCAGGGCATCTGCATAGTCTGGATCTGCCCGCGTGGCTGCCGCACTTGGATTTCCCTGGCAATCAGGTGGGAGGCTGGTGCCAGGGAGATGGGACTCCTCGGTGCAGGCTGTGTCAGCTGGAGCCTCTGGGATTAACCCTGGGTTTTGAATTCCTTCCTTGCTCAGTATCTTCATGTGTGTTAACACAACTTCGTCCTCAGCAGGTGGGCTCTTCTTACCTGCTTAAAAGAAAACAAGCAGAAGGTCAGAAGAGGCTACAAAACACAGTGTCTAATGCATCCCCTGAGGGATGTGAAATGTAAAACTGTCTAGAGTAAGGTGGCAGAGGGGGACAGCCCTAATTTGTTTTTCTTGAGCTGTACGAAGCTTTCTTGCTGGCTTTGCAACAATAGAAGTCTTGTGTTTCATACCCCCAGAGTCCTTCAGGGGGAGTCATAAATGCACGCAGAGTTCTGATTTAGTAGATAGGCAGAAAACAAAACACGCAGCCAGATAACTTTTTAGTCATTACCTGCATACAGGCATAGAGAAGTACATGTTCCTTCAGCACAACAGACATTAATTTAAGGCTAAAATATTTCCTCTGATTAAATGTACTCTAAAACAGCAGGAAAAAAAAAGGTAAAACTAAATCTGTCTTCACAGGCTGAAGTGAATTTTGTGTTGCAACAAGTAATTTGCAGATTGTTTGGTTTTCTCTGCACACATACAGTTGATGAAAAGCAAGTACTGATAGGAAAAGCAAATGAGGCACTGTAGATCTTATTTGCTCCCTGTATGGTGTTATCTATGAAGTAATTTCTTTAATGAACTCTTACCTTCTTTGTAAAGAGGAAGGAGATGGGGACAGCTTTGTTCATGAGCGTTTTGCACCTGGACAATTTGTTTTTGCATCGCAATTATTTCACACAGTAACATGGCAGAACATCTCTGTGTGAAAGGCTAGTCTACAGGAGTCAAAGATCTGCCCCCAGGTTTTCCTGCTGTTTCTCTGAATCTATTATTTCACAGTGTAGACTTCTGGTTCACAATGCTATGAGACCCAGTGTGAAAGCTCAGCATTCCCCTTTTAGCAAACTGCAAATCTCAGCTTCAAGTCTATCTGTTTGTGGATTTTGGACTAGGAATTGCTTCGGTACAAAACTCTAGCTTCTCTGGTATCTTTTCCCTTATTAGTGCCTGACCCAGAGCACCTCAGAGGGCTACAGTGCATACACTTTTCAGGATATCTTACTTCCTACTTAATTTCCTCTCATTCCCCTCTCCTACTTCCTTCTTTTTTGCCTGACAAACTCATTCCCTGTAATGTATTATCTCTAAGTAGGCAGGGAAGCCTGGGATCCCCTGCCAGCAGTAGAGCAAGGAGAGCTCTCTGTGCAGTCTTCCCTCACAGCAACACAGAAAACTGCCTATTTCAGAAATAACCCACTTTCCAACCTTGCCTTCTCCTGCTTGCTTTCCGCAATGTCCACAGACATGGGAGATGTTTATTCGTTAAGGCTAAGCTAGATATTACATGGATCATTTTCTACTTTATTTTAATTCCTTCTATTCAATCTTGCTATCTTGGGATACCGCTGAAACATGCCCTTTACTGTTCATAGGCAGTCATTTAGTATTTTACACTGTATTTTCATAAAGGGCTGTCAGTGATAAATAATCCCGTCTCGTGGGCTTTTTGTGGCACTTGGGTACATGGTGCTTATAACCCCTTGCAGAAGATCTTGTTTACCATATACAGAATTGCACCCGCCTTCCTTGGCAGGATTACCAGGCATGTCTCCTCTGTAAAGAGCCACAGTTGGGACAGTCAGTGCCAGATGGTCAGCAATGCAACACCAGTACTTTGCTGTGGTGAGGGACAAGAGAAAGATATTGCTCTTGAAAATGCCGCAGGAAAGCTCCTGAGGAGCTGCCTGTGCTGGACTGGGTAACAGCCCCTCCACTCTTAGGGTGAGCGTGATCAACCCTGAATGAAGGGCAAGAAATAGGGAGTCTGGTTTGCAGCTTCACGCACAGCAAAATGCCACCTGTAAGAGCGAGCTCAGTGCCAGGTCTAGAGGTGGAGCTGTGTCATTATGATTTGGAGTGAAAAGAATCTACATGCTCAGCTGCGAACACCTCTTGACAGCTGCATCTGCATGGAAAACAACCAGGCTCTTCTGATGGCATCACCACCCTAGATAGCACAACAAAACCGCTGAGAGTCAGGAGAAGAGCAGCTGCATGCCTGCAGTTTCCTTTTAAGAACAAATCATACAGCTGTCACTCTTACCAAGAATTACTATGTACCATGGTAGTTCCTTCCCACACACTCTGATTGCCTTTACTTATTAATCATGCTCTGCTTTACTTTGACTGGAGATTCTCTCACTGTCTTTCAATCTACCCCTCTTTTCCTTGCTTAACCGGTTTCACCCTGGTCTACACAAATATTTCTTTGTCTGAAATCAGGAAGCAGTGTATTAAAATGAGGTCTTGCTACTTAGAGAATGAGATGTCAGATGCTTTAATTTGTATCTTTTATGACTACTGAAGCTACAATGTGTACCCCAGTTTGTCTGGGGTAGAAAAAAAAACTAATAGATGAAATCTCTGACCTCCTGCGTGACGGTCCCCTCAATGCCGGCAGCTCCAGTGCTGAGAAAGGTCTGCGCTCTGGACTACACAGTCCTTTGCTCTCCACATCCTGTGGTCACTAACAACATCGCGTGGTTTCACAACAATTTCTTGTTTATCTGTTCTAGGCTGCAAACCATTGATCTCAATACTGGCAGCTCCTGGTAACCACAGTGTTTGAGCATTTCTCATTTATCCTCCCAATCCCTCACAATGATGCAAAATATTATCATTCCTCCACCACAAGTTCAGAATAGATGCAAAAGACAGCAGGATTTTGCAACAGGTTTAGGCACCTCATCCTCATTCTTTCAATGATACTTTCCCGTGGTCAATGAGGTCATTTTGTGCTGCAGCAGCAAGATCTCCTATGATTAAGGCAGTGACCTGAAACTCAAGTTTTTCTTGCTGCACCTCACTGATGGAACAGTCTCTTCTTCCTCTCTGTTATGGAATATAAACCATGGGGCTTCCACAAGCAGATTGTTTCTGCTACAGCTCTTGAAAAACACTCAGCTTTCAAGCATATTGCCAGCAAACATCAGAATGGTGTAATTAAATCTCATGTGTGCAATTAAAAAAAAAAAAAAGAGCCAGACCCTCAGCTGCTATAAATTAGCTCATTACCAGGGCCCCTAACAGAATTGTTAGCTAATTCTGACTGATAAGTTATCCTGTAAGTGCTTGCTACAGCACTACCAGGGGCCTAGAGCAAAGCAGTGAGGATAGACTCCTGGCTGGTGCTGGAGGGAGTGTGCTGCAGCCGTACAGTTGCAGTGCTGCTCAGAGGCTTCTGAAAGGAGGTGTGAAGGACTTCAGAGAGCTGAATGGTGGCATTACAGTTGGTAAGATGTATTTACTTGTGCTGGAGGCTGGCCAGATTTGACACTGCTGCTCCTGGGAAATCAGCCAAGATTTTTTGGTGACGGTATTGTTTTTTGTTTCCCTTTCCCCTGAACTGGTTTTCCACACCCCTTCTGGGGTGAGGGTAAGGTACCAAAAGATGCTGCTTTCAGGCAGCTGGCTAGGACGCTGACATGGTAGCAGGGAAGGGAATAGATTTGTGTGTGCATGCTTAGGGACCAGTGTAGCTTCCTGAAGCATCTTTGGCAATGCGTGCCCAGGCCAAACATTGTCTTGGGTTAACTTGTGCTACTTGCCTAGCAGCCCTCTCAAAGGGTTATATGGCTCTGTAACGACACTAGAGACAAACAGGGTTCCCTGGGTTGTAATATAAGCCTGTGACTGATTATATTTAACCTTGGGCAAGTTTCTGGCCTTCCTGTGCCTGTACAGTTGGAGAATAATACTGTTTCCGATCTCATGGGGAGGTGATAACACTGAAGTAGCTAATTCCTAACAGTAATTAGCAGGGCGTGAAAGGAATCTATGTCTCCCAGATAAGTCTCCAGAATTTTGCTTTGCTTTGTATCCAAATTACTTTCTAGGATACTTCTCTATTGCCAGTTAGCAAAGCCTAGCAGAGAAACTTAAATCTTTCAAAGGTGAATACCCCACCGTCAGCTCTCATTCCAAGGCTTTCCTTTCCTTGGAGTGTATTTTTCCTGTCGCACAATAACTAGCAGCTGCCAGAGCACAGCCTAGTAGTGCATTAATATAGAGATTTCTGACCTAAGGAAGGAGGGTGGATAGCTAAATGTGAAATTGCTTTCAAGCAGTTTCTTTATCTCAAGTCAGTTGCGTGCAAGTGATGGAACAGCCACCCAGGCAAAACTCCTGGGCACTCCCAGCCCTGGGAGCTTCACTTGTCTCCATATGCGATTGTGCTACAAAAGGTAGCAGCAGCATTAGAGCTGTGGCAGCCCTCTGCTCGTCCCCACAGCTGCTGCAGTGTTCACATGCACAGCAAACCCATCCACGGTTGCTGGTGCTGGGGTGGCAGTCCAGGGAGTGGCACAAGGTGAGCAGTCCAGAGATGCTCAGAGTGTCTATTTCTCTCCCCACTCCCATCTTCCACAGGACATGCAACACCCTGTAGATTTAAATCCATAAGGCCAGTTCTTTCCAGCTGTAGTGTGCCACAGGAACAAAGAACCAGAAATAAAGGGCAATGACTTAGGTTGCTGGAGTAACAGGTATTTTGCACAGCTGTCCTGCAAAGGAAGACCAAAATCAAATTCCATCATTCCTACCAGTCTGCTTTGCCCTGAGCACAGGAACAAGGTGCAAAGCCTCATCAAAAGTTTTTCAGCATCCTACAGAGGACCTGCACAGCCTGCCTAGTTCCAGTTCCCTAGTTCCTGCCTAGTTCCCCTCTAATTCCAGCTGTGCTGAGGATTACATCCTGTGCCATGCAGGACAGGTTCTGTGATGGGGCTACGGCCTCCAGGTAACAGACTAAGAGACGATCATCAGCTTTTGAAGAATCATTAGGCAGCAATGACTAGTGAGCTGGAGTCAAATTCGTGACCTAGAAATGAAAGGCTGCCTCTCCCATTCAGTTCTTGCATTCCCTCATTTTCCTTCCTTCCCTTAAAAAAAAAAAAAATCTCCCTTTAGTCCCGTTGCTGCCATATGTTGTCTAATGCTTCTGACAGTACAGCTCAGGTGGTATTTCCTTTTCACTTCTAAGGGGGGA